TAGAAAGAAAAGTAATACTGTAACTAATTAAAGAATATGAAGCTATATGTACTGAATGTAGAATTAATAGAAAATGTATTGTGTAACAAGTGATATAGATAAGTAAGGAATAGGAAATCAACAGGAAAATTAAAATGTAATAATCGTAATGCAATAGAAAGTTAAGTAGAGGAATATGGTTAAGAAATGTTAATGATGTCTTCAATGTTGTTGCAATTGTTTTGCTTTCTATGTTTTTTAAATTGTTGGAAAAACTGAATAGTTTATATATATAAAAAAAGGGGGGGGGATTCTTAGGTTCTAAACCCCACCTTTTCTCAATGAAGCCGACACTGTCAAGAATGTCATTCAAAACAGCTTTCTAGTAAACAAAAAGGCAACTTTATTTTTTCCAAAAAACAAACACTTTGAATTAAGAGTCACAGCGCTGATACAGAAAATACATTAAAGAACAAAACAAAAACAACATAACTTAATACAGAGCAAAAGATTGAATTCAGGAGATTCGGGGGCTGCCAGGTCTGTAGACTGCTGGAGGATAACTAGGAGAGGAGGAGGTCATCTTCTGGAAGGAAGCCTGGAGGAAAAGAGGCTACCAGATGGTGATGTGTCCATCAGAGAAAAGTGGCACCAACGTGAAATGTAGCAGCACACTCTGGTGAGAGCTCCAGACATTATGTTCTCACTGCCTCACACACACAGAATTGTACCATTTTAAGGCAAGTGGGCCAAACTTCCCTCAGGAAAGAGGCAAAAGGAAGATATCAGTTGGATGCTCAGGGTGACAGACAAAGTAAAAGAGGACAGCTCAGCTTTAAGAACCTGCAGAAATGGTGATTTTTCACAGACTGCAAGATATTTTTAGAGTTTTCTCTGCAGCTCAAGACAGGTAACAACCATTCAATGTGAAGGTATCCAAATAAAACTGAAGTAGAATCAACCAAACATTATAATAACCCCTCACCCCTCAAGCACTTGCATCTCAGTCTAAGAAGATTCAACTAGTTGGACATACTCTGACCATCTTCTCAAGTCAGAGACTTTGCAAATTGTAGACCATGGATCTTGTGAGTTTTCAAGAAAATATATTAAGTCGGGGCTTGGCAAGACTTGCAGTTCAACTCCCAGGAAGTTCCCAGCCAGTCATACTGGTTGAGGAATTCTGGGAATTAAAATCTACAAATCTTAAAGTTGCCAAGCTTGGACATCCCTGAACTAAGTAAATCCATTATTGACCCTATGCCAAACAGGAATTCCTGAAAGGAAACCTGAAATAGGTACCCTAAATTTATTTATTTACTTATTTGCATTTATTATTATTTTTACAAATAACTCCAGGCGGCGAACATATCCAATACTTCTTCCTCCTCCTTTCCTGCTCCCCACAACAACAATCCTGTGTGGTGAGTTGGGCCAAGAGTGAGGACTGGCCCCCAAGTCATCCAGCTGGCTTTCCTGGCTAAGGTGGGACCAGAACTCACAGTCTTATGCTTTCTAGCCTGTTGCTTTAACCACTAGACCAAATTGGCTCTCAAAATGTCTCTACAATCTTGTTGGGTGGCATCTGATTATCCTGTTTTATAAGCTGGGTTCCACAAATGAATCTAGGATTTCTTTTCTTTGGCTTAAAATGAAACAAAATGCCTGAAAAGATGTTCTGAATTCCCTTCAGGGATAACCGTTCCTGGCACTGAGAGTAACAACAAATACACCATCGCATTTTGGATTTCTCTCATGGACTTTTAAGACATATGTCTAGGGTAGGAATCTGGCCAATGGACCGAGTAATGCAGTTTGTGTCTCTAAGCCAAACAAACTCTGCATCAAGGAGGTACCGCACAAAGTTGTCTTGGCTGCTATGCTCATCTCTCTCTCCAACTGTACACAATAGGTGGGGGAACCTTTGGCCAGGCCTGCAATAGTTAAATTTAGCTCTTGTAACCCGAGTTGTTTGCTCCAAACTGAATCTTATGTATATTTCAGAAATGCCTGGAAAGGTTCACATTTTCCTGGGAATCCAACTTCATCACAGTTGCTATTTGAAGCTGGTGATTGCTGAGCCCTAAGTTACCAAGGGGGAAAGGAAGGGGCAGATTGTTGCTTGTTTTGCATTGTACGACTTTAGGGCTTAATTCCAGTCTAAAACTCAGATTGTAATCCCAAGGTTTCAAAAAGAAAAGAATTGGGAACAAGGGATGAGGAAGTTGCGGTTCTCTAGATGTTGACTTATGGTTTCTATAATCTCCAACTTTTAGGCCACAAGGGCTAAAGTGGATAGGTTTTAGCAACCCATAATACCTAAATAAGTATCGATCTCCTATAATAAACATGCACAGAGAGCAAAAGCCCAGAGCTGAAATTTAGCTGGATTTAGAAGACTCACATGGGACCAAACTGAAATGTAATACTGAGGGTGGGGGGAAATGAAAAAGGAGCCAAGGGCCAGAATCTAACCGCCATGTAGTTTTCTAGCTGCTGGACTCCAACTCCTACCAGTTCCTGACCTCATGCCCACTGGGTCCATGGGAGTTGGGATAAAAATATTTTAACCCCTCCCATTCCAAGATACTACCATTTGAAATGATGGACATTTAATTCTTTCTCAGAGTAGGAAGAGTGAGTTAATAACAGGAAGGAGAAATTGCTTGATAGAAGCAACAAGCTCAATCATCTTTTCTTTTGGCTTAATGAGCAACTTTCTTTTTTAGGGGGATTGCTAGTTTGGACAGCAAAATGACCTTCAATAAAATATGAACCTTCTGTAATATTGCTTGAAGCAACAGTAGAGAGGGAACAGGAGGGAATAAAAAGACCCATAGTTCAAATCCTGCCCATCCTACTCTCTGGTTCCCAATAACCTGATGATAATTAAAGCATGAAGTTTAGAAGATCCATTTGACCGTAACAGAAACCCTGTATCACCAATACCAGCCATGATCTGCTATACTACAGTTCAGGGATCATAATTTTTGCAACTGAGCATTTCAACAAAGGTCTTGTTACACACACGCACACACAAACACATACACAGTGAGTGCTTCAAGAAGCAGTAGAATCCAATCAATCAAATGTAGGGAACTGGCAGCTCAGCGGAGACTTCCCATGATCAGGTTAACCAGCACAAAGCTATGTTCTGTGACCCCCCAAGAGAGTTGAAGCAAGATCAACCTCCCATTTGGGCAAAAGTTAGGGCACTGTTTCTCAACCTTAGCAAATGTTTAAGATGCGTGAACTTCAATTCCCAGAATTCCACAGTCAGCACCTTAAAAGTCGCCAAGGTTGAGAAACAACAGTCTAGTGCAGGGGTCTCCAATTTTGGCCACTTTTAAGACTTGTGGACTTCAACTCCCAGAATTCCTCAGCTTCTGGGAGTTGAAGTCCACAAGTCTTAAAGTGGCCAAGATTGGAGACCCCTGCACTAGTGGTTCATTATTTCCCCCGCTCTTCCAAACAGGGCAGGGTAAGGGAGAAAGGGATGAGGATAAACAAAGCTCACTCTCTTTGGATTGGGGCAGTATTGAACCCTTATTGAGGACACTGCCAGCCAATATCAGTGGTAGTCAGGGGAAAAACAAATTTGGCCACTCCCCATCTGGCCATATCCTCAGTCATCACGAACTGCTAGCTCAAGGGGGATGAGTCAGTGGCTCAAGGCAGTGGTACCTTGGGCTGGCTTATAGGAACAAGGTCTAAAATTATCTGCAGACAAAACTCTAGCACAAGGGAGAAGCCAAGCCAAGCTTCTTTCATGCTAAATTATTTTACTAGAGAGGATAGGGTTTTAATAAAAAAAAACATGATAAGAAAGAAGCTTAAACTGCAGTTCTGGAACCTATAGAGTGAAATGATACAGGCCACTTCTTAAATCTAGGGTATCTTTTCATTGCATGAATAAATAGGTGAAGATCCCAAAGGTGTTTTTCAAATGGCAACTGGACTTTTGTTTTTTCCTTGAATTTGAATTTCAAGGGGAAAGCAACAAAAACAAAGTCCAGTTTCCTCTTGAAAAGCACCTTTGGGACAACCATGAGCTGGATGATTGAGAATCCCCACAGACATTCAATAATCTCTCTTCCATCCCCCAGATTTCTAAGTCGTCTGGATTATGTTATGACTATCTCACTAAAAAGGAGATGGCCTTGATGGATGGAGAGAGACATCCCCAGTTTCTACAGCCATCGATACAAGCTTTCCGAATAGCAGGGAGCAGACTGTAAAGAAGATAACAGAGTTTCACAACGTCCAAAGCTCAAACCCTTGAGCAAGAGGAGATAATGGGATCTAATAGCCAAACAACACATCAGGAAAAAAAGTCTTCTTAGAAAAGGACAAGGAAAAAAAAAAGAGGATAGAAGAAAATGTCCTGGGAGATTGGCAAGAGAGATTCGTGTACTTAAAGCTAGCTTTTTGATCTGAGAAATCAATCTCATGTTAAGATGGTCTTCTATCTTGATTTGGAGTGGGAACAACAGGAGGAGAAAATATTCCAGCCAACTAATAACAAACTCACATTCTTTTTCTAGTTTGACCTCATCTGCGAGCCACCACCCACTCTGCAGCCGAGAGATCTCCACATTCGCACGAAGAACGTCTAAAACACAATGATCTTGGGATCTGAAGCTTAGAAGAAAGAAGTGTAGTGTGTAATCACCCAGTTACACTAGCGGCCAGCTTGTTATAAATTCAGCACATACATTATCATCATTGCATACACACCCAGGGCACATCTCCACTCCCTCCTCTTAAAGAGAGCTCCAGGGGTTACCCCAGGGGGGTTTCTACCGGTTCTGTCCATCTCTGTAGAACTGGTAGCTCTGAAGAGCAGCAGATATAGAACCGGTTCTATGTCTGCTGATGTTTTTGCTCACCTGCCCACCCGGGCTCTTACCTGATCTTTATTTCCTGATTTTTCAACTTCAGCGGCCGAACGAGGCACAGCTGCAGTTAAAAAAGCAGGAAAAAAGGCTTTTTGAAAGGCTGCTTCTCTGCACGCAGCGTGTTGATGACGATTTGCAGATGCGCATAAATCACCGACCCTCGTAAATCCCGAACCGGTAGTTAATCCTGTCGTATCCCACCCCTGGGTTACCCGCTTGAAATGTTCAAAGTTCTACATTCAAAGTTCTGTAGCAAGTTGAGACCAAAGAGAAAGAGCAAAGCCGTATCCGTGGCAGAGAGATCTCTTTGGTGATCTTTGCCTCAGCTGGTTCAGGACCATCTTCATTGCAAAAAGAAGAAGAAGATGATGTAGACAGGGTATTCATTGCACAATTCATTAAAATGCTGCCATCTCCAACTTTGGTGCATACCAAGCTAGTCATTGAGGGACATCAGCATGGGATGCAAGACCTTCTCAAATTTTTGAAGAAGAGCTGGCCAGATCAGCATCAAACTCCGAAACCTTGGGCCACCATTGGCAAAACCATGAACCCATGGAGATCTTCCCAGGTCATGATGATGAAACAGCAGTCGGCTTCCTTCACACATCAAGGGAACAATTAACGTTGAGGCCACCTCTGCCTCACAGTGTCACTTTTTGACCTAAAAAAAAAAAAAATCCATCCCCGTACAAAACGCTTCCAAAAAAAGCCACAGGTAGAAGGTGAGGTAACTCGATTTTTTTTTTCACCAGACATTCCAGAAACAGGTCTTTGGAAGAAAGCTCCCTGGTCCAGGAGCAAGGCTGCCTCGCCCATGAAGTCCAATCAGGTCATGTAGCGGGTGATGGCGCGCAGAGCATACAATAGGGCTGCCTGCATGCGGGCCTCCAAAAGCAGCAGATTGACGTGCACCTAAAAGACAGGAAGAGGCATGATAGAAAGCGATGCGAGACTTGCAACAAGCAGCAGAGAGGCCTGGCACCAAAACCTGGCATCCCGGCAAAGTACTTTGATCTCAAAATATCAGGCACAAGCAACCAGAACCACTCCCATGAACAGGCCCAAAGAGATACTTCATAATTGATCACCTATGTTACAGGAAACTTGCCAGACTGCCTGGGAAATGGCAGATATAGAGTTTTAAGGGTTTGAGCTCCGATGAGGTCAAACCTTCCTCCCCTGAACCGACCCCAAACTGGAATGTCTCTTTAGTCCCCCTAGATTAGGGGTGTCAAATTCAAGGCCTGCAGGCCAGATCTGGCCTACAGGGTGCTTAAATCTGGCCCATGGGGTTAGGGTTAGGCCTGGAAATATCAAAGGTTTGGCTTACAATGCCTCTGCCAGCCAAAAATGGCCGCAAGAGGGTCTCATGGGGCCTGTTTTTGGCTGGCAGAGTACCACAGGAGGCCAAAAAGGAGGTGTGTGTGGGCCTTTCAGGGCCTCTGAGCACCCCATTTTTGGCTGGCAGAGTGCCGCAGGAGGCCATGGAGGAGGCCAAAAACAAGACATGGGGCACCACGTGTACCCCCCACGCCCCGTTTTGGCCAGCAGGGTGTTGCAGAAGGCATCTATCCTGTCTCTCCCCCTGCCCCCCCTTGGAAGAGAACTACAATGCTGATCCAGCCCTCAAAGAAATCCAGTTTGACACCCCTGCCCTAGAGGGACCCCCTCTCCTTCAGCCGGTGAATCCACCACACAAAGGGATCCACTACTAATACTTAGATTTCAAAAGGATCCACTACCACCCCTGGACTTAGTGTGTCCCTTGTTTGGTTCTTGTTTTCCTTCCTTTTTCAAGATTACCGCTGAGTATTGTGCAGCTCCATTTCTAACTCTCAAATGTCCCTAAGGCACAGGTAAACAAAATTTTGGCAGTTGAGAATTTGCACCCTTAACACCTGGGAGGAACTCAAAGCTCACCCTGGGCTAGGTTGATGATGCAACTTAATGGGTGGGGTGCAGGTGTTTATTTTCCAGGGTTTGCAGGTGAAGTTTAAAGCCACTTGGGGGGGGGGGTTGCTGCTTTGTGTAGGTGAGGCTTATACTTCAGTTGTTATCTGCTTCCTGTCTCAACAGAGCCAAAAATCGTGGAAGCAGAAAATCATGCCCTTCTGAGAAATTGGGATCTTTTGCTCGCAGCCCAGTAGAAATCCAGAATATTGTTGTGGTTAATTAGGAAGAAGGTAATCTCTCTATATAAAAGTGAAACACCACTCATGCATCATCACAAAATCTCCAGAACCGTAAAGCCTGCAAACTTGAAATTTGGCACATATGTTCCTCTTGGCTTCTAGGTGCTCAATAAGAAAGGATTTTTCTAAATGACCAACATCAGTATTTCGTATATTATTATTAACACATTCTGATGCTAAGGAGTTCTACTCCCCCTCCCCATCTGAAAAGAAATTTCTTCCAAATGCAAAAACAAGCAGAGGAGAGGAGTTTCCGTTTTACTTTCACAGCAGCAACCAGCTTTAGTACAGAACAGTTGAGCTAAGCCTTGCCCAGGCTCCTTGCTGTCTCCTTGCTCACACAGCAAATACTGTTTCAGTTTCCAAACAGCCCTCAACTCTCTCATACACTGACAGGACACTAGCTAGATGAATACTGATGGATGCTGGCAGGCAAAGGCAGAATTTTCCCCCCTTATTTTCCTCCCCCAAAACTAAGCCCGATCACATAGTTTCGTAGTGAAGCACGGGTATAGAGCTAGTTAATTAATATAAATACCACCCTCCTGATCCAATAGTTCTTCCTTTCTTTCTCCAAAACAAGGCCTGTTCTGTGCCTCCTTTGCGATCCATAAATCAAAACTCTTGGCAAGAGTCAATATGATATCATTAATGTAGGAATGTCCTTAATATAAGCTATAAAGAAATGGTGCAATGCTAACACAACAAACAGAAGCCCAAGGGAACAAAGTCCCCATATCTTAGCCATGAAGCTCACTAGGTGAAAACTGGCCAGTTCCTATTTCTTAGTGAATGGTTTCCTACATTGGTTAAACCACAGTTTGCTTGTTGAATTCACCGTGGATGGGAGTCATAGAATATACTAGATCAATGTTTTTCAAACTTGGCAACTTTAAGGTGTGTAGACTCAACTCCTAGAATTCCCCAGCCAGCCATGAAATCCACACATCTTTTTTTTAAAGTTTTATTTGCGTTTTCACAAAAAGAACATAATACAAATAAAACATCTTTTTTTGAAAATAGCTTGGTCCTGGGTTACACTTTGTCATACAGACACAAACTCAATTTCATGCTCATTTTTGTGTTCTATTCCATATCTTAATACTGTTTTAAATTTTCCCCCTTTTAATTTTCTCAGCTTTATTTTAATTATCTCATTTTAATTCAAATCATTATATTTATACTTTTGTCTGTCCTGTTTCAATTTCATATTATCTTTTCTCATTAAACAGATTTTCTCCTGTAGTTACTAATTGGAGTATGACACCTTTATATCTTTTAATTTTATCCATTCAACTCTTATTTAAACTTCAATGTATACTTTTAAGATTGTAACATTCAATATAATACATAACTTCCAATCGAATTCTGCTTGGTATATTCTTAAAATACGCACTATATTCTTTAAAAAAGATTATATATATATAAATAAAACACTCATTCCATTCCAATTCAATTCTATCATTAATATTCATTAAAATCTTAACATCTTTAACGTTTCTTTTCAATTAAATATCATACTTCCTTGGGAACACTTATAAACTTTCCATAATTATTTTTTTCCATATTTCTCTTCACTTATATTTTATAAATCATTAATAATAATTAAAATGTTCCCATCCTTTCCTAATTTAACTCTCTCATTCAGTTTATTTCATTTATTTATTAACAAACATTCCACTAGATTACGATATTTTATCCATCATTTTAAGCATATTTTCAAAAATTATTTCTATTTGTAATATAACAATACTATCTTATGTACCTTTGCAGAATCCCTTTTACAATTAAGTTTTCACCCATTATCTCTAAACAGGCTTATACTTTCAACTCTTATACCTTTGCCCTGTTTCTCTATATCTTGTTTCTGTCCTTTATAACTTCTTTTCCTTTCCTTCTTCCCTCTCTTCTTCTCCCTCCCCTTTTTACCCCCTTGTCTCTCTACTTCTAATTCTCTCTTCTGTAATCCCCTCTTCTGTTGCTTTCTAATATTATACTTATTTTTCAAACTATTCTTCTTTTTTGGTTGTTTTTTCAAATCTTAAACTTTTCTTTCTCTTTCCCCCCTTTCCTTCCCCCCCCCCACATAAAGTTACTTGATGGCTTCTTCTTTGTCTCAATCTTCTTGTTCTGCAAGTGTTTCTTGTTGTTTCTCATAGTTCCAGATCTCCATTTCTAAGAGTTGAAATACAAAGCCAAAAGAACCTCTCTCTTCTTGTGCATCTTCTTTGTACTTTTTAAGTTCCGTTTTCAGTTCTTCTAAAAGTGGTGCCATTTTAACCACTTTTAAACAACTACCCAATTGATTTTAGTCATTTAAATGCAATAACCAAAAATCCAGAGATCATCAAGTAATCCAAATAATCCCAAACTGTTTCTTCTTACTTCTTTTTTCCACTTTCTCTTCCTGGGGTTCTACTATTTTGTTACCAAGTTTCAGTTAAAATGTATCTTTTAGGAATCTTGTTGAAGTTTTAGCTCCAGGCAGTCTCCTCCATTTTTCCAGATCCTGCCCTTGTATTCTTTTTCTCTCCTTTCCTGCTTTTAAAAGCTTTTAAGTATCTAGAAATCTTTATTATCCCTTTGACATTTTATTTTCAGCTTAAAATGCCTGTTGATGTCAAAGTGGATTTTTTTTCAAATTCTTGCTTAAGTCTCTTAGTTGTCAGTACATGGAAGTGAAGAGAAAACAAAACAAAACTAAATCCTTTTCCTTCCCTCTCTCCTTCGCTGCTTCAAAATCTTTGGGAACAATGTTATTTTTTTTTTATAGTTTAAATTCCAGGGTACCTTGCATTGTTGCTTTTGCAGTTTAACCTGGTCAACCAAGACTTTCTCTTCTTATCTTCCTCCTGCACATTCTTTTCCGGTCAGTTCTTCTTTGAGGTGGCCTTTTCTGACCACCGCTGCAACCGCCTTCGGGAAAGGGAGTAATGGCCAGCTGAGGAGGAGAGATGCGGCTCTCCTCAACCCTGCTGGCAGTCTCCCCCCTCTTCACCACCTCTACGGGGTGGCTTAGCCCCGATACCAGCCGGCCTTCCGGCTTGAGTTCCTTCGCTGACAGACTGAAACAGCGATCGTGCGTGGTTTCGATCCGTGCTCACTGCCAGAGCGCCCCGAAATCCACACATCTTAAAGTTGTCAAGTTCGAGACACATCGTACTAAACCATAAATTGGGATCTACGTTCTGCAGTGGCTGAGTTCATTGACAGGCTAAGCCAAAACCAAAGGAAACATATTCTCACTAAATGTGACAGGCAACCCTAACGTTGGTCAATCAGTGATCCAGGTATGGAAGCCAAACAACCCATAACCCAGTAGAACTTGCTTTACCTTTTCCGAATGTTTGAAGTGTCTCCAGAAATGAGTGTACATTCTTTTAGTGGTTTTTTCCGGGTAGCAGGCCACAGTTTTAATGTAGATTTTCAAGCTACGTTCCAAAAGTTGGTTCACTTCCCTGTAATCATAGTCATCATACCTACAAGAAACCACATATGGGCGTTATAATATATTGGCCAATCCAGATGATCAACTTTCCGCACCCCAAATACTTTTTAGATATGATGGGCTATAATGGCAAAACAATTATATCGTGGGAGATGCAGCTTGTTGCCTTCATGTTAGGGAAGGCTGAGTGGGCATCAGAATCCTAAATCAGCAATCAGGGATCATTTAATGTTGAGTACAGGTAGTCCTTGACTTATAACGATTTCAAAAGCCATGGTGGTGCAGTGGTCAGAATGCAATATTGCAGGCTAACTCTGCCCATTGCCAGAAGTTCGATCCTGACCAGGTTGACTCAGCTTTCCATCCTTCTGAGGTCAGTAAAATGAGGACCCAGACTGTTGGGGGCCATAGGCTGACTCTGCAAACCATCTACAGAGGGCTGTAAAGCACTGTGAAGCTGTATATAAGTGTTAAATGCTATTTAGTGACCATTTAAAATCATAATGGTATTGAAAAAAGAGACTTATCCAATCAAGATATGGACAAGATATGAAAGAATGGGGGATTAGTAGACAACCTACGATATTGGATTAAATATTACTTGGATCAGAGGATAAACTGATAAGAAAAATCTATAGATGCTTACTGGGTTAAAAGCTGGAGGAAGAACAGGTAAAAGAAACAATGTTGGCATGGGCAAAAAAATTTGGACATGGTATCAATTTGGACAATTGGAAAACTTTATGGGAGAGAAACAAAAAAATAACATTGGCCATATCGTATAAGGAAAACCTGTATAAAATGTTTTATAGGTGGCATCTTCCTCCAGCAAAATTGTCCAAAACGTACCAAAATATATCACCCAACTGCTGGAAATGCACCAAAGAATATGGATCATATTACCACATATGGTGGAAATGTAGAAAAACTCGGGAGTTTTGGCAGAGAATCCAGAGATGGCTTGAGGAGATGCTAAGGCATAGAGCGGAATATAAACCAGAATTTTTCCTACTTGGAATTGTAACAGAAAAATACAACAAAGAGGAGATCTATTTAATAATACATGTGATTACGGCAGCAAGGTTAATCTTTGCTCAAAAGTGGAAAGATAAAAATATTCCCGATGAAAATGATGTAATAAAAAAGATATGGACATGCACTGAGATGGACAAACTAACCTTGGAAATGAAAGATAAAGACAAGATGGAATGCTATAAAGTATGGGATAAATTCTATCAATGATGGGAAAAAAGGAAGAATCTAGAATCAAAAGAGAATAGGGTTGGCAGAACGGATGATTAGAATTGGAAAATATTGTATAAATGTATATAAAATATGTACTCTATGCCATAGTATGTATGACAAACAGAATTGCAGGGATGATTACACCACGTCCAACGTTTTTAATAATTTACTTAATAAAACTTTGGGGTAGGGAGGGAAAAAGAGACTTATGGCCAGTTGTTGTGTTTTATGAATATAGCAGCATCCTCACTGTCACATGATCAAAATTAGGACATGTCTTCATGATGGTTGCAATCTCCTGGGGTCATGTGAGACCACCATCTGTGATCTTCCCAGCCAGTTTCTGACAAGCAAAGACAATGAAGGAAGTTGGAGTTGCTTAATGACTGAATTATTCACTTAACAAATGCAGGGATTCATTTAACAATCACAGCAAAAAAAATGATTGTAATTTTGAACAGTCACTAAATGAACCATTGTAAGTCGAGGAGTACCTGTACTGCCTTCCTTGGAAATGGTCAGCTGAGAGCAACACAAAGTCAAATCTAAACCAGTAATAATACCACTTTTTTTTTTTACTATATTTACACCTCCATTTTTCTCTCTGCATTTTCTGAATCATTTTTCTTATTTATCTCCTCACGCAGGAAGCATGGAAAAAAATGGCTGGCAGAGGATTTCTGAAAGTAATCCAGGGATCTAGTTCAAGAGTCCTAGAGCTGCAAGTTGCCTCGGCCAGTTCTATTTTAAAGATTAAAGTAGTTCTTGCCAAGATTTTTTTTCTTTTAATTTTTTTTTTTACAGTGCCAGAGCTTGAACTGGGAGCTTTTCCATGCAAAGCGGGTGGTCAGGAGAATTTGCATGGCGAAATTGTCTCCGACTGAATCTCAGCAAGCCAACATTTGCATCGTCCCTCTTCCTTTCTTTAAGGCCAGGGAAATGGGCTTGTGGAGGGGAGGAAGGGTTTGTTTTTTGTTTGGTATTATTAGGGGAGGGTTTGGTAGCTAATAGTGGCGTGTGTGTGTGTGTGTGCGTGTTTGTGTGTGTGTGTGTGTGTTTTAAAATTGCAAAAGAAAAATGAAGATAATCTAAGGAACTATATAACCTTAGGGCAAAGATATCAATGGAATGGGTGAGGTTGAATTTTTACTTCCTTAGAGAAACAGACTCATTAAAACTAGCAAAGGTTTGAATTCAGAAGAAAATAATGACCCCCAAATCAGAGTTTTGTCATTGCTTTTTTGGCCGGCTGATCTTGAAAGCCTTCTGAAACAATTAAAAAAAAAATGGAGGAGACTGTGTGAAATCCGGTCCTTGCTGTAAAGGGTTTCCTCAGTTTACACACAGTCAAGAACAACAAGTTTACCCTCATGCTTTGAGCATGCGTTATTTCCTATCTCTTGTAAATTAGATGATTCATGTCCTTTAGTCACCCCAATGGTTGCCGTCCCTGCATAGCCAGCCATCCTCCAGTCACCTGTCCAAACCGCACACAACTTGTTTTACCTCAGGCCATTCGTTGGACAGGACAAGGATGCTCAGTCGCTCGTTCACCTGCAGTGCCAGGTCATGGCTTTGAATTATACACTGAACTTTGGACTCACAGCCTCCATCTCTCTCTCTCTGGCGCCCTCGGCTTGTTCGGTTACTCCCCGCTTAGAAGCAAACCTTCTCCTGCTTTGTATGTGCTGGCAAACAATAGCTCAGCTAGGATGGCTGAACCAGCATGATTTAAATCAGGGGTCTCCAACCTTGGCAACTTTAAGACTTGTGGACTTCAACTCCTGGCTGGAGGAATTCTGGGAGTTGAAGTCCACAAGTCTTAAAGTTGCCACGGTTGGAGACCCCTGATATAAAACCAGAAAGTAGCTAGCTGTGCAGATCAGAGGAGAAGAGAAGGGAAACTATAAAGTAGGCCCAAACCAGAGGTGGTATTCAGCAGGTTCTGACCAGTTCTTGAGAACCAGTAGCGGACATTTTGAGTAGTTTGGAGAACTGGCAAATACCGCCTCTGACTGGCTCCGCCCCACCTATTCTCCGCCTCCAGAGTCCCAGCTGATTGGCTGGGTTTTCTTTGGTTGTCCTGCACAGGAGAACGGAGCTGGAAAGCAGGTTAGTGGGGTGGGGAGGGAATGGGGATTTTACAGTGTCCTTCCCCTGCCACACCCCCAAGTTTTACTACAGAACTTGTAGTAAAAAAAAATGAATTCCACCACTGGCCCAAACTCCTATGGCTGGTCATCCTGGCTTGCCACTGTGGACAAAGCATCCTCACTACAGGTAGTTTTTGACATGGAGGAGTTTGTTTAGTGACCATTCGCAGTTACAACAGCCCTGAAAGAATTGATTTATGACCATCTTCCACACTTAATAACGGTTGAAGCCCCTCCCCTCCTTCATGTGATCAAAATTCAGACACTTGGCCCGGACTCGTATTTATGACGGTTGCAGTGTCCTGGATCCCTTCTGACAAAACAAAGTCAACGGGGAAGCCAGATTCACTTAACAACCTAACTTAACAAGTGCAGCGATTTGCTTAACAATTGTGGCAAAATAGGTTGTAAAACAAGGGTCCTCAAACTTGGCAAATTTAAGACTTGTGGACTTCAATTCCCAGAATTCCTGAGCTAACATGACTGGAGGAGGAGGAATTCTGGGAGTTGAAGTTCATAAATCTTAAAGCTGTCAAGTTTGAAGACCCCTGGTGTAAAAGGAGGCAAAACTCGCTTAACAAACATCTCGCTTAGCAACAGAAATTTTGGGCTTCCATTGTGGTTGTAAGTCAAGAACCACCTGTAGTTGGGTGTTTTTTCCCCCCTTTTTTCCAATGATTAATCAGCCAGTTAGAAAAAAGGATGCACATTGGTAATTTGGTCCATGGCAAAAGCAAGGCAGAAGGAAAAATCTGGGCACCGTTTACTCAAATCCGGCAAATGTGAAGAAAAAGAATCGCAGGAAGGATGGAAAAATAGGATGCTGAAGCAACCTACCTAATGCCAAAGACACAGTGGACGTAATTCCAGATGGCCCTCCGGAGCATGGATGTGTCCACCCCACTGTGCATAGCTATGGTGTTGTAGGTCAGATTGTACACCACTTGGAATTTCTCATCCAAGAGTTGTCCCACATCAGGATACAGCCGGTTGATAAGCGAGTAACCATGATCTTCCCACGTATAGTCCTGTGGAAGGTGAAATACAGGTTGGATCTACCATCTGCACCAAACCAGGGTTAGTTTTATAATAAAGGTGATGTCACCTTCAAGCCAGTGCCATCCTGGAAGTCACCACAGCTGGGTTCATATTGAAAGCTAAACCATAAAGCAAGGGTCTTCAAACTTGGCAAGTTTTAAGACTTGTGGACTTCAACTCCCAGAATTCCTGAGCTAACATGACTGGAGGAGGAATGCTGGGAGTTGAAGTCCACAAGACTTAAAGCTGTCAAGTTTGAAGACCCCTGCCATAAACCAATGCACAAACGATCGTCCTGGGCCATTTATAACCTGGCTTGCATCCAGTATTAAACTATGAACTATACTTCATACAGCCAAAGGGTGGATTTACAGAACACCTTCATTAAGCCATGCCCCGAATGATTCGCCTTTTGATTAGTGTGTGCCGTGAGATTTTTGACATTCTGTTGATGGGGATAAACATGCATCCAAAGCATGACTGACTCATGGTACCTGGGCTCGGAAAGTGGGAGGTGTCTGCTCTCCTCTCCTGGTAAAATCCTTGTAGCCAAACTCTGGATCCTCCACAAAGCACAGGACTTTGGGTGGCAGGGAGTGTTCAGCAATGTCTGCTGGAGATAGGAACCAAAACAAACACATGTAAACCATGATGTGATGCGATCAAAAGCACTTAGCACTAGCCCTTTAAGACTTACATACCATGGGCGAATAGGTGGCAATATAAATTAAATAAATAAATTAAATAAATACTGCTTCATAGTACTTTACAGCTCCCTCTAAGTGGTTTACAGCAAGGGTCTCTAACCCCCCAGGCCATGAAACCAGGCCACTAAACAAGGAAAGCCCTATCCATGGGATGCAGGCAGCACAAAAGACTATGCCCCCATGGAAAAACCCCTCTCCATGGAACCAATCCCTGGTTGGGGGATGCTAGTTTACAGAGTCAGCATAGGAAAAGGTAAAGGTTCCCCTCGCACATAAGGGCTAGTTGTTTCCATCTCTAGGGGGTGCTGTTTATCTCCGTTATGAAGCCAAAGAGCCAGCGTTGTCCAAAGACATCTCCGTGGTCAAGTGGCCAGCATGACTAAACGCCGAAGGCGCATGGAACGCTGTTCCCTTCCCACCAAAGGGGTCCCTATTTTTCTATTTACAGTTTTTACATGCTTTCGAACTGCTAGGTTGGCAGAAGCTAGGACAAATAACGGGAGCTCACTCCGTTACGCAGCGCTAGGGATTCGAACTGCCGAACTGCCAACCTTTCTGATCGACAAGCTCAGCGTCTTAGCCGCCGGGCCACTGCGTCCCTGACAGAGTAAGCCTATTGCCCCCAACAATCTGGGTCCTCATTTTACCGACCTCGGAAGGATGGAAGGCAAAGTCAACCTTGAGCCGATCAGGATTGAACTGCTGGCAGTGGGCAGAATTAGCCTGCAATACTGCATTCTAACTGCTGCGCCACCACGGTTCATACATCAAAAGGTCTGGTTGGATTTTTGAGGGGTTGGGTGAAGCTTGCAGACTGAGAGATCCCAAATCTCCAAGCCATTCTCCACCAGGTTGTTTGACTAAACGTCTGAATGGGTGGAAATCTCACTTCCCTTCAGATGTGGCCCTGCCTCACCTGAGGGAGTCACAAGTAGGCTCTCTCTCTTTTCCATCTCAAAGTGAGTCGCCATCTCTTCCTGGGTGACACCTTCCTCCTCCAGCTGGCACTCCTGCAGCAGTTTCATCCTCTCCATCAGCATCTCCACATCCTCCATGGCATCATTGCTCTGAGAAAAAGCGAGAAGAGGGAGGATCATTTCAGGCAAAAATCCACCAGCCTTACTTCACACTTCTGCAGCGCTGCATTGCGTTCCTATGCTCTACCTTTGCTATCTGTTGAACTCTTCTAACCACTGATGTGGGGATGAGTAGCTGGGAACCAAGCCAACCCTACTAAGACTACCCACCTGGAATACTGCAACTGATTTTGAATCGACATACTACAAAAAAAAAATGTTGGGACTTTGGAAAAAGTTCAGAGAAGAGCAACTAAGATGATCAAAGGCCTGTAGACTAGAACATAGGAAGAACAGCTGCAGGGTTTGGGTCTGGCTAGCCTAAAGAAAAGAAGAATTAGGGGTGACATGACAGCAGTATTCCAGGATTTGAGGGGCTGCCACAAAGAAGAGGGGGTCCACTTATTCTCCAAAGCACCAGAGGGAAATACAAGAAACTATGGATGGAGACTAATCAGAGAGAAGTAACCTGAAATTAAGGAGAAGCTTCCTAACAGTGAAGACAATTAGCCAGTGGAACTGCTTGACACCAGAAGTTGTGGGTGCTCCGTCACTGGATATTTTTAAAAAGACTCTAGACAGTCACTGCAGTTGTTAAGTGAACCATATGATCATTAAATTGTCTTTACTTGCCAGAAGCGGGTTGTGAAGATTACAAACAATAATCGTAAGGTCCACCTAAACGACCCTGGTTATGCTTGCAACCATCAAAAAATACATGCCAGTTACCAAGCCCTCGAAGTTTGATCACATGACCGTGGGAGATGCTGCAATGGGTTGTAAGTCTGAGGACAGGTCTTAAGTCACCGTTTTCCAGTGCTGTTGTAACTTAGAACGGTCGCTAAATGAATGGATGTAAGTCAAGGATTATCTGCGTTGTCTAACTTCCCAGGCAAAAAGTCTAGAGATTCTCAGTCATCCAGATCATGGTTGTCCCAAAATTACCAAAGGTAATTTTTTCAGGAGGCGACTGGACTTTCTGGTTTTTCTTTGAAGACGTTTCGCTTCCCATCCAAGAAGCTTCTTCAATTCTACTGAAGAGAGCTGAAGAAGCTTCTTGGATGAGAAGCAAAACTTCTTCAAAGAAAAACCAGAAAGTCCAGTCACCTCGTTGAGATTCCCAGGCAAAGGTATTGCAACTGCCTACCTCGCAAGTTGTTGCGGCTGGCCCCTGGGCCTCCCAGAGCCCACCCACTTTGGGGGCCAGTTTTTTTCCAACTTTAAGAGCTCCCCAAATGCTTTAAAAAATAATAATAATAACAAGGATCCACCTCCCCATAATGGGCTTACACTGGAACTGTTTGTCCCATCTTCCGAGCTAGGGCTACTGTCGCAGCTGCGTGGCGAAGGTGGTCGGAAGACATGCCCAGCTTCCTGGTCAAGCTCTGGGTTGATGCCGCAGCCGAACACGAAGGAGGCGAGCGAGTGGTAGTGTGTCAGCAGGACCAAGGCCTGGATGAGTTCGGCTAGAGACCAGCTGTTTTCCCCAGTTTTTAGCAGGGCCTGGAAGAAACAATACAAAAATCTCTCAGCTCTCTGCCTCAAGTTGATATATTCTCCAAAGCACCCGAGGGCAGGACAAGAAGCCACGGGTGGAAATTAATCAAGGAGAGAAGCAACTTAGAACTAAGGAGAAATTTCCTGATAGTTAGGATAATGAATCAGTGGAACGACTTGCCTCCAGAAGTTGAGGGTGCTCCAACATTGGAAGTTTTCAAGAAAAGATTGGACAGCCATTTGTCTGAAATGGTTTCCTGCCTGAGCAGGTGGGGTTGGACTGCAAGACCTCCATGGTCCCTTTTAACTCAGTTATTCTGTATTTAAGGAGAAGACAACAGCTTTCCTCTAAAGGAGGAGTGTCCAACCTTGGCAACTCTAAGGCTTGTGGACTTCAACTCTCAGAATTCCCCAGACAACATAGTACCCCAAAATCATTATTTATCTCATTAGGGAAGATACAAAGCCATCTACAAAAGTAAAACGGACCAAGGAAATTTCCCCCAAAGGGTTTGATTCAACCAGAATCGAAGGCACACCAAGTATCGAGATGTCTCCTTCTTTGTGCAATGCTATAATTTAGTTTAGTTGGTTTTGTCTTAGTAGGTCACATGAACCCAGGCATTATGGGCTGTAAATCATAGTTTATGGCTTAGTGTGGAAAGAACCAAGCCGCTGTGGGTGCCGGACAAACTGGTTTTACAAAAGGCGAGAGGAAAATGAAATGTTTGCCTTCTTTCAACTGCAGGAAACAAAAATAGTTCCAAGATGGTTTGATCCAGCTCACTTTCCACCAAGTTCGGCACTCACCTCAATGTGCTCCTTGGTGATCAACCAAGGCCGGTGAGCCAGGATCTTGTTGATTTCATTCAGGTTCCTGAGTTTTTGTGGGGCATACTGCAAACCTCGCAGCCAGGCTGGGTCCCCTCCTACCTGGAGAAACTCCCCCATGTGGAAGCCAACCAGGTAGGAACAGTGATGCCTGGCAGCTGCCTGAAATAACAGGAAAATCTTGTAAAGGAACTCTCAAGGGCAAGCTGCAAGGATCTATTGCAGAGGTACAAGGTATGCCCAAGTCCAGGACCAGCACAGTATCAGAGGCTGGTAAAGGCCTGTTACTCTTCACATTCCCATGCGGGCAAGATGTAATTTCCAGAAGAAGGGAGAGATGTCTAGGAATCCACTTTATATCAAGACTGACTTTGATCCATCCAGTGGGCTGCTACCTACAGCAACAGCAGGGAATCAAAATGATGGTCTATTTTTTAAGTTCTACTTCTAATTTTAGTCCTAGCCATGTTTCTCCACCTTGGCAACTTGGATGGGTGGACTTCAGTTCTGAGAATTCTCCATTCAGCATGGCACTTATTGTAGCAAAAGAGCAGACAGAGCTAGGTCGGCTGAGTTAAGCGAGTCATCAGTCTAGAATCGTTACGTTGCCACAAATGATGTAAGTCCAAGCCCTCCTGAATTCCACTGACCCTTATCTGGTGCCAATGTAGCACTGAACCTTACTTGACTAGATCTATAGCATTGGGCAATAACTGCAATTTAAAAGTGTGTTCCTGATTCTTCACACCTGATATTCATGGAGCTAAAACAAGGACAGCAGTTCTATTCACAATAACCACCCAGTAAAGGAAAGTTGGGCTGAGAGTATCATTTGCCCAGTTTCCCATGGAGCTGCATGCCTCTGCCAGCTGGGGCTCTGAATCTAGGTCCCTGCGGTGCTCGCCCACTCACCATGATTGCGATGTAGTGGCGCTTGTGATACGGCAGTGGCCCATCCATCCTCAACAAGAGGTACTGAGTCTTCCAGAAGCTCGTCAGGTATTCTGGATGTAGTCCCATCACCATGGTAATGTTATCCACTTTGCCCGTTGAAACAAAGGCTTCTATGAAGAGCCGTCGCTGGGCGCTTTCCACTCCTTCTTGTAGGATCTACAATAAGGAGAAAGCAAGTTTGTAAAAAAAAAGGGCGGGGGGGCGGGCTGCAAGGTAGAACATCATCATAATCTCTACTACTGGAGGAGGAAGAGAGGAAAATAGTTGGCTTGCCCCAAAATCCCTTGGGATGAATTTTGCTAGCTCAAATGGGGGAAAGGCAGAAAACAATGTGAGGGACAGTTTGGTGTAGTGATTAAGGCACTAGATGTACAATCCGGGAGGTTGTGAGTTGTAGTCCTGCCTTAGGCACAAAACTAGCTGGGCAACAGGTCTCACACTCATCCCTCCTGAAATCTTGTCAAGAAAACTTGTCCAATGTAGGGACTTGTCCGTTATTATAAACCAGCTTCCAAAGACTAGGTACAACAGAGATTTGCCCGATCGGTTAATATATAATATTGATTACTATTAATCTTCTCATCACTCCTCATCACCCATCCCCTCCCACTTGTGACTGTATGACTGTAACTTTGTCGCTTGTATCCTTACGATTTATACCGACGGTTTCCTAGTATGATTTGATTGCTATGACTATTATTAAGTGTTGTACCTAATGATTCTTGACTTGACAAATGTTTTTATGTATGCTGAGAGCATTTGCACCGAGACAAATTCCTTGTGTGTCCAATCACGCTTGGCCAATAAAGAATTCTATTTCTAATTCTAATATATTTAATAAAGTAAATAAATTCACCATAAATATACTCAATTTAGGCTGAATGCAAGGCAAAGCAGGCTGCAGGGATTTCTCTCGGATCATTAGCCATTTTCCTTATTCCTAATTATCTAACAATAGCAATCAAACTCAAGTTGAAGAAATAAAACATTAGCGGAAAAGGGTGGGGTGAGGAGAAAAAAAACAGGAGAAATGTTTGTATGTATGCTGAGGTTTTTATTTGGAAAGATCTGCAAACTGAATTCGATCTATCTGCAGCCGTAGCTTTCCATAGCCTCTCCGCTATTTACAAAAAAAAAAAAAAAAAACCCGGGATGCTAGTCAACAGTTCCAAGATTAGCTTGACTCTGAATTTGTTCTTCCTTCTTCCTGCTTTGAAAAACAAGCTCTCTATCCAGTCCTTTTTACGCATGAATGGCCAGTCAATAGCTGCCCAGAGCCCCTTTGAAGTCATGACTAAAAAGCCGTCGTTGTTTATTGTAAAAGAAAAAAAGAAAAGAAAAAGTTATTAAATATCCTGGGAGTAATCGCATGAAATGATTGGAACGTGGGTGTAATTAATTTAAAATTAAATCCACCTTGTTTGGAGCACTCCCCCACAGGGCATGTTTTGCCACTGCTGTTTCTATCTAAAGGCAGGGATGGGCAGAATTCAAGATTATCTCCCTTGATTACTTTCCAAAGCACCAATATCCAGCCGCTGAAGCCCTGGGCAAAGGATCGGACCAGTGATGGGATTGAAATTTTTTTACTACCAGTTCTGTAGGCGTGGCTTGGTGAGCGTGGTTAGGTGGGCATGGCCATGTGACTGGGTAGGCGTGGCTTTTTTTTTTTCAGTTACCCCCCCTGCCCATTTTTGGGGACCTTCCTGGCCTCAGAAGAGCCTCGGGGGGGGGCGCGTTTTTGCTCCCATAAGGCTCCTCTGAAGCTCAGGAAGGCAAAAAATGGAGGGGGGGGGGAGGCTGAGCCCCTCCCTCCATTTTTTGCCTTCCTAGGCCTCAGCATGGGGAATCCCGGCACAGCTGATCGTATAAACAGCTGATTGTGGGGAGGGGAAAAGAAAAGAAATGTCTTAAGGGGCCAGCGTCAGGTGGGCGGGGGGAGCGACCATCAGGTGGGCGGGGCAAGCGAACCAGCGGTGACCGGGCGACCGGGTTGGGAGCGTGGCCAGCCAAAACTTACGACTGGTTCGGCGACCCACGCCAAATCCTTGCTACCAGTTCACCCAATCCGGTGCAAACCGGCTGAATACCACCATTGGACCACACACTCAACATGCGGAACCTAGGAATGTCCTTTTAGGTGTCAAGGTTGATTGGTGCAGAAAGACGATGTTTAAAAGGGGCTAATTCTGGCCAGGTGGCCCCCTTCTGAGCTTGCTTAATTTCAAGAGAAGTTACTTCGTTCCTGCCATGAAAAATCATATGGATGTCAGAAATGCTTGCTGATCTTATGCCAGTTGCCTAGAAATCAGGCAGGAGATCAGCCGTTGGCCCACTCCCTTTGGGCAAACATCATTTAAAAAAACTTATAAGAACAGGGAGAGAACCAAAAAGAGAACTCCAGTTTGGTCTAGTGGTAAAGGCTGGAAACGAGGAGACTGTGAGTTCTAGTCCCGCCTTAGGCATGACATCATCTAGG